GACAGAGGAACAAGCAAATGTGGTAGAACAAGATACAATGGTGAAACAAGCAGATGTGGCATTGTAACAAGTGGATCTGGTGGTAGAACAAGTAGATGCAATGATGAACAAGCAACAACAATGTAACCTAATGGCTAGAAAAAATTTGACCCTAACTTTCTATGTTAATTAAAACTATAACAAATTATGTTTAACTGAAATAGAAAATGTAAAATTTCTATATCATTTGTATCTATGTTGATTCTACATTCGGCATAGAAAGTCAAAATTAGCCATCATAACAAATCCTTTATGCAGTAGTGATTTCATAAAGAGATGCTTATTGTAATTCAAAAAAAGAAGTATATTTTTACACGAGCTACTTGGATATTGACACTAAATATGTGGTATAAATAGGGAGATTCTCTCATAAATACTCTTAAATGCATGTTAATTGAATAATAACACATAAAATAATATACCTAATTACTCAGTTATAAAGGAGTGAACTAGACATTATTTGAGACATTAAATGATATTAAAAAATTGTATAATTTACTTCAATGACTTATAAATAAGACTGCTCTAGTCTTTATACATCACATTCTCTAAATATCTCTATTCTCGTATATTCGTTATTATAATTTTTATTTCTAAGAACACCATATCTGCATGAAGGATTATCTTAATATATCTATTTATATAAATATTAGAAATACAAATATCACTATGAAATAACATTAGAAATGATATCATCATATTTAATTTTACTAAACATTTATAGTCCCTCTTCAAAACACTACAAAAAAAACGCTTATTATCTACGGGTAAAATCCGTAGGTAATGACAAAAATCCGTAGGTAATGCACTCGCGGTAATTACCTACGGATTATAACTGACAACGTTTTGAAAGAAGAAGAATCAAAAAATCAAGTGCACATTGTTTAGAATAGTCAGCTGACAGGTGAACAAGTTCAACAGCTATTAAAACTTCTGCAAGAAAAGAATCAAGACACTACTCATAGGGTCAATCAGTTTAAAAATAATAATGGTGATCAACAAGACTCCAAAGGTATTCCTTTTGTATTCGATCAGTATATGAATTAGATCAGTTTTTTCTTCTCTGCTATTTTCTCCCAAATTCTCAATGGGATCCATAGGTAATGCACTCGTTGGAATTACCTACGGATTATAATCCGTAGGTAATGCACTTACCTTAACAAAATATTTTTATTTATTACAACCCCCTCCCTTATTTTTTATTATTACCTAGAACCCCCTCCCCTTTATATTATATTTTTATTATTTATTATATTTCCGAAACTTTGAATTATTATTAGATTAAGGGAATTGTCATTGGCAGGATTCGAACCCAGTACCTCAGAGTTGGAGGTCGATACTCCAACCACTAAGCTATTAGGTTATTTTGAAAATAATTTACAAAAAAATTATATTTATATTTATCCAGTGTAAATATATAAATATAAAATATATAAATATAAAATATATAAATATAAAATATATATAAATATAAAATATATATAAATATAAAAATTATATATAAATATAAAATATATAAATATAAAATATATATAAATATAAAATATATATAAATATAAAATATATATAAATATAAAATATATATAAATATAAAATATATATAAATATAAAATATATTTATATTTTGATATATTTATATATTTATATATTTGTATTTATATATTTATATATTTATATATTTATATTTATATATTTATGTATTTATATATTTATGTATTTATGTATTTATATATTTATATATTTATCCATTTATATATTTATGTATTTATGTATTTATATATTTATATATATATTTATGTATTTATGTATTTATGTATTTATATATTTATATATTTGTATATTTGTATATTTGTATATTTATATATTTGTATATTTGTATATTTGTATATTTGTATATTTATATATTTATATATTTATATATTTATATATTTATATATTTATATATTTATATATTTATATATTTATATATTTATATATTTATATATTTATATATTTATATATTTATATATTTAGATATTTAGATATTTATATATTTAGATATTTAGATATTTAGATATTTAGATATTTAGATATTTAGATATTTATATATTTATATATTTATATATTTATATATTTATATATTTATATATTTATATATTTATATATTTATATATTTATATATTTATATATTTATATATTTATATATTTATATATTTATATATTTATATATTTATATATTTATATATTTATATATTTATATATTTTATATATTTTATATTTTATATTTTATATTTTATATTTTATATTTTATATTTATATATTTTATATTTATATATTTTATATTTATATATTATATATTTATATATTTATATATTTATATATTTATATATTTATATATTTTATATTTATATATTTATATATTTACACGAATTAATATAAGTATAATTTAGTTGTAAATTATTATTAGAATATCCTAATAGTTTAGTGGTTGAAGTATCGAGTTTTCAATTTTAAGGTACTTGGGTTCGATTCTTGCTAGTGACAATTTTTTTAGTTTAATATAATTTATCTACGGATAGTAATTCGTAGGTAATTACCTACGGAATTACCCACGGATGATATTACCTATGGAAAATATCAGTAGGTAATGGATAATTACTCACGGATAGAATTCCATAGGTAATATCCGTAGGTAATGTACACTTTACCTACGGATAGTAATTACGTAGGTAATTACCTACGGAATTATCCACCGATTACATTACCTACAGATAATATCCGTAGGTAATGGATAATTACCTACGGATAGAATTCCGTAGGTAATATCTGTAGGTAATGTACAATTTACCTACGGATTTTCATCCATGGGTAATATCCGTAGGTAATGGATAATTACCTACGGATAGAATTCCGTAGGTAATATCCGTAGGTAATGTACAATTTACCTACGGATTTTCATCCGTGGGTAATATCCGTAGGTAATGTAAAATTTACCTACGGATTTTTATCCGTGGGTAATATCCGTAGGTATTGTAAAATTTACCTACAGATTTGTATACTGTAGGTAATAGGCTTTTTTTGTAGTGAAAGATGTATTAAAAAATATTTTAAATGAGTAGATATTTATTTCTTATAAAAATAAGAATTATATGTATTTTTTTACCTTATTATTCATTATCTATAATTTAATCATCTAAAATAATAATTCATTTTAATTATTATATTAAAAAATAACATTAAATTATTTTTAAAAATCACTTTGAATAAATAAAAATTTCCTCATTAAAAATTCTACATATTAGCGAAAAATATATTAACATTACAAATTTTTAAAATTATATATCAATTTGAGTAATAATCTATACCTAATTTCTTGTGCATTGGTTCGCATATAAATTTATAAAATAAACAACATCCAATTAATTAAACAAAAGTTGTTTTTCTAAATATACCATTCAAGAAATTAATATTTCCTATTTTTAGAAATAATTATGTTATTTTCGGTCGCCATCGTCAAAAGAGACGGTTGGAGCGACGCGATGGATTTGACTTCGACTTGTGTTTTTAAAGTGATATTACAATGCCTTTAGGCTGTCCGATAACCGGGCTGGACTTAAAGGCGAGATTTTCGAAAAGGGTTCTGGAGTCGTCACCCATGTTTTATCCGGAAACATTAGAAAAGGAAGAAAAAGTAGGCGTTGGTTTAGAAAAAACAACTTTGGCCATTATAACCTGAGTTGGGTAAGGGAGTTAGTTACGTGTAGGGAAAGTATTAGCTTCCCTACGACGTCCCTTTCGGGTTCCCTATGATGGACTGTTTATTTTATAAATAAAGAACTCTAAAATTACGCTTTTACCCTTATTTATTCATTTGCGGAATTTAAAGTGTTGACTACATGGTCCAAACAGCTAATGCACAGATAGATGTAATAAGGAAGCGGTAAAAAAAATATAAGAAATATAGGAACCTTCGAAGCAAGCTTTGTTATTAATATTCTTAGTAAAGACACTTTTTGTAAAACCTCTGCGCTCTATAGTGCTGATCGCTCTTTCTCGCAACACTATAGGATGTTTACTAAGAATAATAAGAAACTCTGTAAATGCTTCGGAGGAATCGTAGGAGAAGAATTTAGAGAAGTTGCAGAAGGAAAAGTGGAAGAATGCTGTGAAAAAGATGAGGTCGCCCCCCCCCCCCCTCCCCCTTTTTATAAGAATTCGCGCCTATCAGGTCAGGACCGTCGTCTCGCCTGACAAGGTGAGGACCACTGTCTTGCCAAACGGGATAGCGGTCTCACCCTTAGCAAATGGCAAGAAGGTCGTCTCGTCAAATAAGACGGCAGTCTCGCCAATTGACAAGAAGGTCATCTCGCTGTCTCGCCATTGACAAGTGGTGAGACGGCTGTCTCGGCAAACCAAGCAACCTGCAATATTACATACTTCCGTCAGAAAGTCAAACCATTGAGCCCTACCTTAAAAACCATTTATCTGAATTATAAAAGAGGAATCATAATACTATGCTTGAGGTCCTTGGTAGCCTAACATGTCTCACATTCATACTATTGAATAGAATTACTTACCCTTGCTGAGATAAAGACCACCTCCACGAATAAGAAGCCATAGACCACCGTCCGCTCTTCATCCCATTTTCTGTATTCTTCTGGCAACTGCTTTATTATGTGGCTGCCAGAATGGTTGAAAATAAAATAAATTAAAATAATTGTTACCAAGCTCTATGCAGAAGACAAACCATTAGTCAATATGAAATCTCATGGTTAAATGGAAAACACGTAATCTATACAAGGCACTATCTGAGATTTATCTTCCAAGGAAGAGCTACTGCATTACTGTAGACTTTAGAATCATGCCGCACTGAGAAAAGAAGAAGGTTTTTTACATTAAAAAGCTGGTGTAAAAAGAAACACAGAAAATCCTCTGTTGTCTGTTGGTAAACTACTTATTTTTTCCTCGGAGGTATATTCTATCTATAGAATCAACTGGATGAAAACAAAGAAAGAATACATAAACAAGACATTCTAGGGCATGCTCAATAGGAAGGTTTGGTAAATCACTTTAGCTTACTTTTTGGGCCTTACGTCAAAGAAGACCAGCATCAAAGAAAATATTTCATTATTTCAGAAACTGTATGTAATTTGTTCCACGTGACCAGTTTATCGCTGCTACTTCAGAATTTCTACATTGATAATTTTATTTCAGGTGAACATTTTCTCATAATTTAAATTCCAGGGAAGGCATACCAAAAGCACAAGTACCAAGAAAAAAAGAAGCAAAAGAAAAAAAATGTCATCATGAAGTAAAAGCCTCACCTGACCAGGCTCCCAGGTTAAGTAGAAGTTGCCCCGACTTGAGACTGCAACATACCTTCCATCGGGAGAGCGATTGACAGTATTGAAAGTCCTAGTGTAATAGCTTGCACCCCTACTACCACTAGAAACTGTTCTGAAGAAGCAACACGGATAGATAAATGCCTTGACGTATAAAACTGAAAATAATCAGCAAATCACATAATACAAAAGATAACCCAGATGAATGAGTGTTTGAAGCACATAACCAAAGAAGTAAAACTTATGTAACAAATAACCCCATCGACACTCACCCTGTAGTCAAACTTTTCAAGAAAAACTCAAAACATTCCAATTTTACTAACACTTACGCACTAATTTGAAAGAAGAGCATTACTACACTACACCATATCCATGATAGTTCCACGCATACATAAAACTTGCTGCATAATTGGAAACTCACCTGTTAAGAGTAGCTGACACAGTTTCCTGAACAGCAACCCTCCAGTTGTAACCTCTGTTAGTAGTAATATATATTGCACCTTCGTTAGTCACCATCTCTGCACTCTTCTCATCGGTCTCCTTTATGTACACATGCAACCCATCACATTAAATTTTACTACAATTTACACCAAAATTATTATTATAATAAATAACAATGCATATCCCCTGGAAGTTCAGCACTGAGCGGTATCCTCTCCCAGCTTTCTCCAGCATCAGTAGTGTACAACAGAATCGCAAGTTTTCCAACTATCCACCCTTCCTTCCCTTTGAAACTGATAGAATTGAAGCGATAGTTGAAATCTTCGTCTTCGGCAGAGGGAATGGAACGCGGAGCCCAAGTGTTTCCTCCATCCTTCGTCTCCAGAATTGTTTGTCTCGTCTCGAGGAGAAAACAAAAAATGCGAACACCGTTCATTCATTTAACTCTAATTCAAACCAAAAAAATCGCAACTAAGGTGAAACGAGAGGAGATTATGAATTTATGTTAGTATTTTATGAAGGATAGAAAAGATAGTTTGATGTTTAGTAGTGAAATTTGTGTAAAAAATAGTTTTTAGAAAGAGGTGGAGAAATAGGAGAAGGTTTGTATGAGGGAAGATAGTAATTGATGTTAGCTTATATTAGATTTTCTACACATAAAAAGACTTTTTTCATGCCTATTTACAGGCTTGACTTACAAGATTTTAGAATTTTCTATTAATTTCATTGTTTCTACACTATTTTTTTTTCTATACTATTCTATTTCTACACATTTCTTCTTTTTCTAGAATCATGTTGTAGCTTCTACTAGTACACATATGTTTTCTACATAATTCTAGAAGTTTTACATAATTCTAGATTTTCTTAATTTTAGAATTATTTATCTTCTACTTTCAAACATTTCTAGAATCTTCTTAGGATTCTAGATATTATTCATATGTAATTCCTAATTCTAGTAACATCTAAGATTTTATATTCTAGATCTTTCTAGAATTTGTATCATCTTTCAACACTCCTCCTTGATGCAAATTCTTGTAACTCCAAGCATGAAACGTAATTGTTCAAACTTGACTCTTGGTAGTGCCTTGGTAAATATGTCTGCAATTTGATCTTCTGTAGTACAGTACTCAAGTTGAATTTGTTTTGTCGCTTCAGCCTCTCTGATGAAGTGATATTTAATAGCTATATGTTTTGTTCTTTGATGATGAACAAGATTCTTCGTCATTGTTATTGCTGATTTGTTGTCGCAATAGATAGTAGTTGGTCCATCTTGTGGTTCGCCCATTTCTTCAAGTATTCTTCGTAGCCATATTGCTTGACTTGTAGTTTTAGCAGCAGCTACATATTCTGTTTCAGCTGTTGATTGTGCCACAGTTGCTTGCTTCTTTAATGCCCATGAGAAAAAACCTGATCCAAGTGAGAAGGCGTATCCTGACGTACTCTTCATGTCGTCTATTGATCATGCCCAATCACTGTCGGTGTAACAAATCATCCTTGAGTTGGTCATGGTCTTGTACCATATACCAAACTCTCTTGTGCCTTGCAGATACCTTAAAATCCTTTTTCCTGCTCCATAGTGAATCTGACTTGGCTTTTGCATGAATCTTGATAGAAGACTTGTAGCATACATAATGTCTGGTCGTGTAGCTGTGAGATATAGAAGGCTTCCGATCAAACTCCTGTATCGTGATACATCTACTTCTGGTGCTCCATCATCTTTCTTTAGCTTTTCGTTTACCACCAAAGGAGTAGTGACAGGTTTACATCTTTACATCTTGATGTGAGTATCCTTTTGTGACCAATCTTGCCTTATATTTTTGTATGGTTCCATCAGGGTTGAGCTTAGTTTTATATATCCATTTTACTCCAATGATATCTTTTCCGTGAGGACAGTCCACAAGCTCCCAAGTATTATTCTTCTCAATCATTTTGATTTCTCCTTCCATGGCCTTGACCCATGCTTCTTGCTTTGAAGCTTCTTCATAGCAGGAAGGCTCAATGATGGCCATGTTACAAGTTTCATACATATCCACCAAAGATCTTACACGTCTTGGTGTAGACTTTGGTGAAGTATATTCTTCTTCTTCTTGTGGAGGTGGAGAAAGCGTACCTAGATCTCCTATTTCTTCTTCAGGTTATTGTACTAGAACCAGGATGTTGCTTCTAACAACTTTTTCTTCTTCCCAATTCCAAAAAGCATTTTCGTCAACCTCAACATCTCGACTGATGACGAGTTTCTTTGTTTGTAGGTTGTAGACTCGATAGCCTTTTGATTGTTGGCTGTATCCCAAGAATATTCCTCTTATAGTTTTGTCTTCAAGCTTATGCCTCCTCTGATTAGGAACATGTATGTAGCAAATTGATCCAAATATTCGTAGGTGTTTAGTTGATGGTTTTCTTCCACTCCAAGATTCAATAGGAGCCTTGTTTTGAACTGCCTTAGTTGGACATCTATTAAGTATATATACAGCAGTGTAGACTGCTTCTGTCCAAAACGTATTTGGCAAGCCTTTCTCCTTTAACATTGATCTTGCCATCTCCATGACAGTGCGATTTTTTCTCTCCGAGACACCATTCTGCTATGGAGAATATGCAACTGTAAGTTGTTGCTCAATACCTTCATCCTCACAAAATTTATCAAATTTTTGGGAGGTGTACTCTTTGCCTCGATCGCTCCTGAGCACCTTTATCGGTTTTCCGCTTTGCTTTTCGAAGAGGTCCTTAAATTTTTTTAATATTCTAAAGACTTCTGATTTTGCTTTGATGAAGTAGACCCAAGTCATTCTAGAAAAATTATCAATGAAGAGAATGAAGTACCTGTTGTTATTAAGCAATGGAGTCCTCATTGGTCCGCAAATATCTGTGTGGATTAACTCCAACAAGTCTTTTGGTCTCCAAGTATTTCCCGTAGAAAATGGTAATCTGTGTTGCTTTCCCAGAAGACATCCTTCACAAGCTTCACTACTCTCCTTAAGGCTTGGTAGATCTCTCATCATTCCTTTTTGATGTAGTAGCTTTAAGGCATGAGTATTGAAGTGGCCAAATCTACGATACCATAGCAACGAGTCATCAACTTCTACTTTCATGACAATGTTAGTTCCTCGATTGAAGCTTATAGGAAAACTTCTATTTCTCTTTTCATTTTTACTTGGCCAATCTCTAGATTTTTCTTATCATAGATAGTGCATGTATCTCTTTCAAAGTGGAGAATATATCCTTTCTCCATCACTTGACCAATACTTAAGAGATTTTCTTTAAGATTCTAGTAAGACATCATTGATAAGTCTCATACCTTTCTTGGTCTCCACCATAACACTGCCTTTTCCTTTTGACTCTACCATAGTGCCATTTCCCAATCGTACTTGAACTTTAATGGAGTTATCAATTTCTTTGAAGATGCTTGGATCATTCGTCATATGGTTACTACACCCACTGTCCAAGTACCATCTTCCTTTTAATTCATTGTCAGAACATCCCGTAGCATAGAAGAGATGTTGTTCTCTGTCTCGTTCTTCGGAAAAATTTGCTTGTTGATGATTTTTGTTGCGACACATTTTCTTTAGATGTCCAAATTTCTTACAGTATTAATATTGAGGTTTTCCTCGATGCCAACTATCTTTTTCCAAGTGACTTGTCTTTTTGCAAGTGCCACATGGAGGATATTTTCCTTGAATAGTCTTGGAAAAATTTCTAGAATTTTCCTTATTCTTAGAAAGTTCTCTATTAATTTTATTTCCTCCATTTTGAGACTGTAATTTTAGTTTTGATTGAAAGGCATTTTTGACTGAGTCTTCTTCACGCCTTTTCACTGTCGCGGGTTGTAGTGGAGGTTAGCGGTGTAGCTCAGGCCAATGGTGACTGTGAGCTCCGTGTGCAGAGTGGAGAGTGGCGCAAAGATATGGGCACGTTGGTGTGAAAAGATGATGCAAATTCTAAAAATATCTAGAAATTAAAATCCTAGATGCTACTAGAATTAGGAATTCCATATGAGTAATATTTAGAATCCTTAGAAGATTCTAGAAATGTTTGAAAGAAGAAAATAGATAATTCTAGAGTTAAGAAAATCTAGAATTATTTAGAATATTTAGGAGATGGTGGATCAAGCCTATAAATAGGCAATGCCACTTATGTAATGTGTGTGGAAAATCTAATACAAGCTCGTACATATCTTGTAACACTTCTAAGATCAATTACTATCTTCCCTCATACAAACCTTCTCCTATTTGTCCACCTCTTTCTAAAAACTATTTTCTACACTAATCTCACTACTAAACATCAAACCATCTTTCCTATCATTCCTAAAATACTAACAGTGGTATCAGAGCTACGTTCAGTCACCTACTGGGCATAGAGAAAATCTTCCGACTACCTTAAAAAACCCACTCCCACTACACATTACTTCCAAAAAAAAAATTTCAACCTATGGCCACTACCAACCAAACATCATCCATTCCAGTCCCTATTTTCAAGGGAGAAAATTATGATTTTTGGAGAGTCAAAATGAGGACATTTTTTTGTTCTCAAGATCTTTGAGACGTCATAGAAGACGAGTTCACTATTCCAGAAGACATCTCAACTCTTACAGCTGCCAAAGGAAGGAGTTGTAGGAAAACAAACAGAAGGATTCAAGGGCATTATTCACTCTTCAACAAGCAGTTGATGACACTATTTTTCCCAGAATAATGGGTGCCACAAATGCAAAGGAAGCTTGGAATACAATTCAGGAGGAGTTTCAAGGAAGCGATGAGGTACACAATATTCAACTCCATTCACTAAGAAGAGAATTTGAGTTAATAAGAATGAATGATTCAGAACCATAAAAAGACTACTATTCTAGAATAAAAGAAATAGTTAGTCAGATGAGAGCCTATGGGAAAAATATTCTTGATAAGAAAATTGTTGAGAAAATTCTAATTTCTATTCCCCAAAAATATGATGCAATTACAACTGCTGTCGCCGCCGTCCGTTCCGACGTCCACGGACATCTTGAAACATTTATGCGAGCGGTCGTGAAAAGATGGTTTAGACTCGCGTTTTATGTTAAAATTATGTTCATTGCTTCCGAGGTGCTCAACAACTGAACTATTCTCTAATAAAAGCAAGTTTTTCGAAAAGGGTTCTTTTGGAGTCGCCACCAATGTTTTGACCATAAACATTGGAAAAGGCTAAAAAGGCGTTGATTTTATTAAAACCAAACTTGGCCATTATAACTAGAGTTAGGTAAGGGAGTTAGTTACGTGTGGGGAAGGTGTTAGCACCCCACAATGCCCCTTTCGGGTTCCCTATGACGGATTAATTCATTTAAGTAAAGATTATGAGAAATTACGCGATTACCCTATTTTATTGCATAATGTTAAAAATGGCTATCTACATGACTTTATTTTACATTGCATACAGAAAGCAATAAATAAAGCAGTAAAGGAGAAGAGAATTGAA